ACACGCAGCAAATATCGATTCCTAAGGATTCCATTGTACGAGCCAGACAAGCTTGTTGACCTAAATGCATCAAAGTCCTCCGACAGCCATATCACTCAGTTTCTCTAACCATTGGGTATGATCATCCCGAGGTCCCCATCCAGGACGCCTAACGGGACCTACTTGACCCAGACTCATGGTTAGGGTTTTCATACCCTCATGCCAGGTCTAGCTTGACCACCACGACGCGTCAGACTGCAACTACCTTGGCCAGGAAAATGCTACGCATCCTTGATAAGCGCTTAGTGGGGGTTGATTTTAGCGAGTGGAGTTGGTTCTTGCTTTTGACCTAGTCCGTTTTGGAAGACTGTTAAACGTACTGGATACGACGGTCTAACCGTCTTTGTGTTGTGAGTTTGGAATGCTCACCGAAACACATTGACATTTTGGTGCAAACTAATGCCTAATAGAATTCAAGGGTGGTGCTTCGGTACGATCAGCATTCTTGTATGCAACCCCGCCATCGTGCCAACTAGTTAGACGATGCAGGCGCATCGTTTAAACCTCCAATCAACTTGCCCTGCAGCATTGTATACCATTTTGACGATCAGTTGCACAGCATACGATTGTCGCTGTGCATGTTTTGGGCAAGCTTTGCAACATCAACATTTTTACAAAATACAATTTCTCAACATTCTTTGACTTCAGAATATTCGGGTACTTTTTGATTCGACTGTCTTCCTGTGCTACGGCTAAAGTTTGTGCGTCCGACACAAAGGACAATGGGTCGAGGCTAAAGAATTGCGGTCTAGTTAAAATTTGATAGCTGGATCAGTTCACGGTTGGTTCTGTTGCGTTTTTAATCCATGCTAGCTGCCAACAAAATAGAATAATCTACCTTTCCGCCCTTCTTACCCACCGTTTTTTCTGTTTAGCCATGCTTGTACTGGAGCCGTATAATCTTGGACGATCGGCTTGGTCATATGCCATAAGAGTTCAACTCTGCACGCGACCCATCTCTCTTCGTGTTCTTATATTTGTGGATCCATCAATTTTGATTATGCTGACTACTCCAGTTCACATATCACGCTGTTTTCTTCACCTTTCTTATTAAAAAAATCCCGATTTGTTTTTCTAGGGTGTCCTTTTTGTTTTCAATCTAGTTGCGGAAGTCTGTCTTGGACCAGTGCCAGCTTTATCTGAGGTTCTTGATTTTTCGGTGGAACCTCTATCTCTAAGAGAAGCAGGGAAAGAGCAATGTGCTTGTCCCCTTCAGTTTCGACTGACACTACTGCGATATGCCGACGAGAATGATGTACCTTCAGAGGATGTAGATCGTACAGTTTGTCCGCTGGTGTTGGAAACATTAGTTTTCCCCAGGTGAGTCACCATAAATCGCTTATGTAGGTATTCTTATTCTTAGTATTTACTTTTGGATTCTCGTAAATGGAATTTATCCTCAATTGGGTGTTGTACACCTAGATGAGTAGTCGATTTTGAATCTCCTAAAATTTGCTCCATTTTGACGCTAAGCCCCCAAATAAGGTTCCTTTAGCAATTGACGAAAGTACTGTTTCACTGCCACCTGGTTCAACCCATTCTTCAGGTTTGACTTCGCGATTCTGAGCTGCTATGTACGATATGCATATTAACACCAGACAATGAGATTTGATTCTGTCAGGTACTAGAAATGTTCTATTTTGAATTTCATCCTCGTCCTGGAAGTTATTGTCTCCTTATGGAATTGCACTTTATGGTGCTGCGCTAAGATTGGTTGTATGAAGTGGACAGAACACCTCACATGCGCAGTGGTCATCACAGATCTGTCCTATTGCTTGTTTTCTCCATATGATAAGTGTGAATGCATAGATTTTCGTAACATCCTATCCGTGATGATAGTGGAACTTTTGCTGAGTTAACATAAGCGAACGATGTACTGCTATATGAATTGCAAGCACAGTAGTTCTTTTGCTGTGCTTTGGATCTTTAGATTACATTTCAGGTAAGTGCTAATGTCATCATCTAAGTTCGATTGCTTAAACAGTTTTACCTCAAATTGCGATCGGATTTAAATAGTGTCAGCTGCATAAGGAGAGTCGACAGTGCGCTTGTAGTTTACGTTGAATTACCACTTCTTTTTCCCCAGTGCTCTATTAGGGCGATTTCACAGTGACGAAAATAAATAAAACGCTCCCAACTCTTGAGAATTAATCCCTTCTAAACTCATTTTCAGCCTTGATGTTTGATCCCAGTTTTGGAGGCTTCGTGCGTATACTGTCTATCTTTTCTACAGTTAATCACATTACTTTGTGAGACAATCCAACTGTAAGTTCACCCGTCTCTAAGCGAGTTGGATATGGTCAAGTCTGGCTAATGTCGCCAGTTCTACATTCTAATTGACAATAAATGAGGTGGCTTTTTTCGGGAATTTCAAAGCTAACCTCAATACATTAAGGTTTTCTAATGTTTTTCAAGTTCATACAACAAGTATCGTTGATGAATATTCCCGGTCTCATATCACCTGCCCGAATACGGTATTATCGGTTGTGTTTACTAACCCTGAGCAACCCGAACCTCCCCCCAGTCCTAAGGAAGGTTCACATAACGTAAACATCCAAATAAATCAGGTACTCGAATATCTTCACACTCAGAGACACCCACCAATCTGTTGTCCTTGTACAAACACCCACAAGGAGCTCGACATAGCAGCCTTCGTAATCGTTTAGCTTCAGCACATCGTTTGGTACATTTTGCAACTTTATGATGGTGGTTGAAGCTAATTGGGATAGAGTGTGGTATATTGCTGTGTACTTCGTTATCCATCCGCCTTATCGTGCCGTTCTCTTCCGTATTTTTCTCGCATTCTGTTTATCCGTTTCGGTTCACAAACTACATCTGTTTGTCGAATAGATTAGCGTGGTTTATTCTGGTGGATAGGGGTTTTTCTACTTCTTCGGCTAACAGTATAAACCGTGTCTTGTTTTACACTTTCTTGTTTTGTTTTCGAACACACTCGACTGCTTTAAACTTTTGTCAGTGGATGTTCTCGCTCAATTGACACCGCCTTATCAGTTTCCTTTTGGGTATCCGCCCG